ATCCTATTTTGGAAAGATTCAGAAGCTGAGAACTATTTAAAATGTGGTAAGATACTGCATGACAGTAATTGATAGGCTCTAGATGGCGGTGAAGTCGGAGGGAAGGGATCTCACAGGCGCAGTTAGTTGTTTGAGGACTCCGTTCCTCGCACACCACAGCAACATACACTCCTCCAAGACACCCAGACTCACACTGCCCTCCACAAACACACTCTAGAGCTGCCAAGTCACTAAGCCGCAGGCACCTACATTACTGATTTGTTCCTGCGTCCTCTTCAGCCGCTGCAATTCCGGAGTGTCTGTTACGATGCTGAAGCCCCTCCCTTTGCTTTCTTCAAAATCTCTTTTGTACTTGACCTAGGAAGGAGGAAGAAAATAAAAGGGGAGAAAAATTAAAAAATAAAAGTAAATAGATGAATCACAAATCCCATCCAGGACAGACAAGAGCCCAAGAAGATGCTAGGATTGGAAGCAATGCCCACAAACACAGGTCTCAGCAAGAGGGACCCTGAAACTTAGCAGCACATAGCCAGGCCACCTGGTTTATGTCCCAGCAACTCCACCTACTATCTGTGCAATCTCAGGCAAGTTACTTCATCATTCTGGGCCTTAGTGGTCTTATCTGTCAAACGGTGACAACAAGAGAAGCAATATAATTGGTTGTAGGAATAGAATCAAATGATTCCATGCATGTACGTGGCTGATGGGAACAGGTAACTAATAGTTATCATCATCCTCAATATTAATACTATTACTGGAAAAACAAAGTTAAATCTTCTCCTCTCAGGCCTGTCTTGTCAATGACAAAGCATTGTCCTGCGATTGAACTGTTCTCTGAATAAAGGACACAAACAAAATCAACAGTCCTGTACCTAAGTTCTTCTCACTCTAGCTCACAAGGCAAAGCATATGGACACTATTACACAAAGCCACACCGCCATATGGCAAGTATATAATTCTTATGAAAATATTTATAAAATAGGCCACATCTCAGGACTTAAGAAGCCTCCAATAAAGCTGGGAATGGAACCACCATTTGACCCAGCTATTCCCCTTCTCGGTCTATTCCCTAAAGACCTAAAAAGAGCATACTACAGGGACACTGCTACATTGATGTTCATAGCAGCACAATTCACAATAGCAAGACTATGGAACCAACCTAGATTCCCTTCAATAGATGAATGGATAAAAAAAAAAATGTGGCATTTATACACAATGGAGTATTACTCAGCACTAAAAAATGACAAAATCATGGCATTTGCAGGGAAATGGATGGCATTAGAGCAGATTATGCTAAGTGAAGCCAGCCAATTCCTAAAAAACAAATGCCAAATGTCTTCTTTGATATAAGGAGAGCAACTAAGAACAGAGTAGGGCCGAAGAGCATGAGAAGAAGATTAACATTAAACAGGGATGAGAGGTGGGAGGGAAAGAGAGAGAGAAGGGAAATTGCATGGAAATGGAAGGAGACCCTCAGGGGTATACAAAATTACATACAAGAGGAACTGAGGGGAAAAGGAAAAAATACAAGGGGAAGAAATGAATTACAGTAGAGGAGGTAGAGAGAGAAGAGGGGAGGGGAGGGGAGGGGGGATAGTAGAGGATAGGAAAGGCAGCAGAATACAACAGACACTAGTATGGCAATATGTAAATCAATGGAAGTGTAACCGATGTGATTCTGCAATCTGTATACGGGGTAAAAATGGGAGTTCATAACCCACTTGAATCAAAGTGTGAAATATGATATATCAAGAACTATGTAATGTTTTGAACAACCAACAATAAAAATAAAAAAAAAAAGAAGCCTCCAATACATGCCCTTGGCAGAGTGTATGCAGAGGTACCTATGATTTTCCTCCCAGTGTTTTGATCCACTTTCTTCCTAGTAACAGCACAGTAAGGTTGAATTTTACTGAAATTTACTGGGACAGTCATTGCTTCATCCTACTGGGTCCGATCTCATGTTACTAGCATAACAGCTAAATATTCTGCCTGTTAATGACTCAGACAGTTGTATCACTTTGTTCTTATTTTCTTAAGCCTAAATATCAAGGAGTATGGAAACAGATTTTGATGGCAACAGAATCCCCTTTTTAAGTTCAGAATTACAAGGCTCAAACTGACACTCAAAAGTAAACTCACGGGGCTGGGGTTATGGCTCAGTGGTAGAGCACTTGCCTTGTCTGTTTGGGGCCCTGGGTTAGAGCCTCAGCACCACATAAATAAACAAAATAAACATACTGTGTTCATCTGAAACTAAATAATAATAATAAGTAACATAAAAATTGGGATTCTGTAAATGAAGATTCTGTATAAGTTTGAAAAGTTCACTTAGGAGATCATGGAGCTACTTTTTTTTGTTGAGCACATCTGTACTTAATTAAATACTTAATTTGTAACAGTGGTCCACTTTATGCTTTGAATATAGCCCTTGCTGCTCTGCCACTGCAACTTATTTTTAAAAGGGACATGTAGAAAAGATAGTGGAATGAGACGACATCATCACCCTAGGTATGTGTATGATGACACAACCAGAGACATGAAAAATTGTGCTCCATTTGTGTACTATGAATTGAAATGCATTCTGCTGTCATGTATAACTAATTAGAATGAATGAATGAAGGATTGAATGAATGAATAAATAAATAATATGTTTCTTTCTCTTCCTCTTTCCCTCCCCCTCCCTCATCTCTCCTACCCTCAATCTTGGGAAAAGAAAACAGGATTATCTTTCTTCCTCATTCTAGGCAAGTTATCTGTTCCTGAATCCAGACTTTCAGGATGGCACCAGAAGATCTCAGAAATGACTATCTTCCAAATTAACAAGTGAATTACAACTCCAACAGAGAACATGTGGAATGTAGCCTTTGAATCTCCTCTTTAAAAGCCCCCTGCCCCACTGGGGCACAGAATCACAGCCTCTGGGACAGGAGTCCCCTGTGCTTCTCCTTTGCTAACAAAACAATAAAGCTTTTTCCTTTTTGTCAAAACCGCATCCTCATCATTGGATTGGCATGGGGGGACAAGAACCTAAGCTTCCGCAACTGAAATACTAAAACACTTACTTTATTCCCATAAATAAAAGGTCCAATAAATTGCAATATTATTATTCCAGAGAAAATGCTGAGTGAGTTGAACCCTCTAACCTTCAATCTCCCTGCCACATGTGAAGACACAAACACTGGCACTTTTCTCAGAGTTTTATGCCTAACTAAGCAGAGAAGCCATTTAGCTGGACTGGTCATAAGCCCTAGCGTGCAGGACCATAAAATAATAAGAGAGATGACAAGATTGTGCTGGCGGTGTTAGGGAACAGATAGATGTGGATGGTGAGAACAGGAGGTTAAGGGGGTAATTCTATAAAATGGGCCCACAGTGCTGACCCCCCAAGTGCTTTCTTTTCCAAGAAGCAATTTACCTGCAGCCCTGCCTAGCCTAAGTGGACTCGCTATGACACATTCTTCAGTAAACTACCTGTCACACTGCAAGAGAAATGCAGGCCCCAAATAATGTTGACAAGAGGAACCCTATCTTCCCCCTGAAGGGGGAGACTTTTTGTGACTAGATCCTGAAAATCTGGAGATAAGGATAATTCCTCCTAATCATAAAAATCTGTAAGAACATATGGTTAAGAATCCAATTAGAACTGGTCAGCATGGGTCAAGGCAACGTAAAGTTGCCATTACTCTGGGGACTCTGCTGTCCGTCAAAAGTCAAGAGGTGAATGTAGATGGGACTCTCTGTAAACTTCTCTGGGATCCCCAATAAAACTGGAATGCAGAAGAGGCACACCTCCCTCTCCTCTCTGAGAGGACCCACTCTCTCCCTTGAGAGTGTTCCCTTCCCCTTTTCCTATCCCTTCAATAAACTCATTCCAGTTACTCTCAGCAATATGTCTGAAATATTTCTGACTTGATCGCAAGAATTGGGGTTTGAAGAGGGGGTCTTTGCATTGCCTCAGTTTCTCAGAAGGACCCAGCTCTGTAATGGCAGCAGACATGGAAATGTAAGAAGAAGAGTCTATCAGACAGATCGCAACATCCCTAAAGCCAGTTTCAGAGAAAGCACCATCACGTATTCTTTTTGATATCTGTTTCACCTTTTAAAATAGCAATGTGCAAAGAAAGAGGAAAAAAAAAGAAACATTCAATTCTAGAATCACAATTTGGAGCAGACTACCATTTGGCAATCTTTGCCACATTTATGAGACACATGAGAATCCTTTGATTCGGGCTTGCTTAGATAAGTGACTAGTTTTGAAAAGTGTAAAATGATCTCTATAAATGGTTCACAGCATTCTAAAAGATATTTATTCCTTTTCAATGGTGGGGTACACAACCAAACCTCATGTGCTCAGTACCAACCCACCAGCATTTCTTTATTACGTGGGGTAGGAGCCTTGGAGACGTTAGTCAGCTGTCTTTTCCATACTCCCACCCACTGACACCCTATCTACAGAGCCTTGGCTCACCAGAGTTGCTCAATAAATGTTTCAGAAAGTGAAGGGAGAGAAAGAGAAAGGAGGAAGGAGAGAGAGAGAGAGAGAAGGAATTGAAGCCAGATCTACAGGTAAGAGAGGAAATTCATACTTAGGAAATGGAAAATGGCTTCACTTGGCTGGAACAACTGGTGGAAAAGAGGGATTCTGGGGAGAGTGGGTAAAGGCCAGGACATTCCGCTAAGACTCATAGCTCTAAGTAGATTTTGAAACAAATTGCTAGCCAAGTTGCTTTTAAAAATTAATATTAACATAGCAAATATTTATTAAGCCTTCTATAAGCTTCCCTTGGAATCCCTGCCTCTTAAGCCAGCAAAAATAAATAAATAAATAAATAAACTTTCCTTCCCCTGTGTCCAGCCTTGGATATGGAAGAATCATCTCTGGTCTCTTAGAAAGTGATTCACAGTGATTCCATGAATAACAATAACAATCTTCTAGGAATGCCATTCTCTGGAATCTGGAATCTCCCCCTCACATGTTCCTTGATTCTATCCTTTTTGACTTTATTGGGCACCTACAAGATGGCCAAGTGCTGTCCCATGGATGGGAACTATGCAACAAAGAAAGCAGTCTACCCTCCCTGCCCTCAAAGAGCTTATGTTACAGGACGAGAGATGGAAAAGACACAAGACCCAACTAAGCCAAGAAATTGGCCTGTGAGTGAAAAGTGCTAAGAGAAACATAGTGCCAGACAGTGGGGTGCACAGTAGGAGGAACACTGGCCTCGCAGGGTGGCAAGAGAAGGCCCCAAAGAGAGGGTGACATTGCAATAATCCTGAGTAGTATGGTGGGGGAGGCACACACACGTTCAGAGAGAGCTTTAAAGGTGAGGGTACAGATGGAGCAAACTCCCAAAGTTGAGAACGGCACAGAGGGAACCTGGCTAGAGCCCAAGCGAGGGGAAAAGGAGGGCAGAGAGTGAGCACGGGATGTGCAGGCCCTGAGGACACTGGCTTCCCCCACCCACCCCAGCCAAGACAGGAAGACACTGGAGAAGCATCGCGCAGTTGCGGACTGGAGTCTTAACAGGCTCTCCCCGGCTGCTCTCTGCAAGCCCAGTGGGGGAATATGATGAAGCCAGGAGACCCGAGGGGCAGGCAATGTCAGATCTTCTTCCTCAGCTGTCCTGGGGCCAGGAAATAGCAAGAGTTCTTGGGCCCATCCTCAAGACCCTGACTTCCCATGAACTCCTGTCAGAAAGGGGCAGGAAGAACACAGAAGTGGAGAGGACAAAACTAAGATGCATGCCAACCTGAGTTCAGAGAGTATGCTTGTTATGGTTTGGAGGTGACATGTTCCCCCAAATCTCCTGCTAATTCAGAAATGTTCAGAGGTAAAGTGATTGGGTTGTGAGAGCTGTCACCTCATCAGCCCACCCTGGTTGGAATGGACTGGGTGGTAAATGTAGGCAAGCGGGTAGGCATGGCTGGAGGACGGGGGTCCCTGAGGGCATGTCCTAGAAGGCTGCATCTTTCCTGCAGCCCCTCTGCCCCCTCTGTTTCCTGACCCCACCATGATCTGAGCAGCTTTCCCCTACTAGGCCCTCCCCTCGGCTGCGCTGCCTCACTTTGGGCCCAGGTCGATGCAATCAGCCATCTATGGACAGAGACCTCTGAAACTGGGGAACCCAAAGAAATTTTCCCTCATCTCAGTTGTTCTTGTCAACATTTTGGTCACAGCAACAAAAAAGCTAATTAAAACAGTGCTATACCTGGGAACTAATGCAGTCTGATTTTCCCACAGTCTTATCCCTTCAAGGCTGAATAAAGGCACTGTGAAAATACACTCAAAGTCAAATGCAAGAACTTCACACAATAGAAAACTCCATCTGTCTGTCTTCAAAACTAAGTTAAACATATATTTATTTCAAATATTGGATGCTGTAGAATTTTGACATTCTGTGTGTGCACATTAAAATTCTATGTGTAGATACAAGTGTGTGGATATGTGTGTTCATGGACAGGTGTGTGCAGGTACATATACATATATGTACAACATACAGGTACATACATTTATCTTCTACCCAGGGGTCAAAGAAAAATCATGAGTGGAAGAATAGACAATGACATGGCAATTAGAAATTCAGTTGATATTTTCAGTAAGCTAAGACAAATCATGTATCCAGTGCACATCCATTTGCAGAAAGTTAAGTCAGTCACTCTATGTTTCTGTATCTTAATGAAGCTGTTTAATTACATCAGCAAACAAGGACTTGAAGCAAAAAGGTGAGAAAAATAAAAAGAGTGTGAAATGTTATTAGAGAAGGAATCCCAAACACATATGAATGAGGAGTAGAAGTTCAAGAGGATTCATGGAGTGGGTTACAATGGGCCAGAGCAGTAAGTACCCAGGGACAGAAGGGTAAGTAACACAGCGGAGGAGATTCAGACTCCCATAAGCTTGCTGGAATGTGTTTAATGGAAGCTTAAAATCTTCAGGCACATTTATTACTGATTTGTGTTATTCTGCTTTTATTTCATACATTTCTGATATAGTGAAATTAATGACCAATTTCATTATCTCCCATGACATGATAGATAGTGCACATTATTTTTCAAGGGGCGATTGTGAGGGTCACAGTATTTTAAAACTACATGCAAAACCCTTAAGTCTGATCTGTAAAATTTAGTGCTCAATTACGTACCATCTTGTATAGTTCACTAGATTCTGATACTAGAGAATGTGGACCATATGTTTCTTTCTATCTCATCGTGTTTTGCTTGGTGCTAAGCATACATTAAAGGTTTGATAAGGATTTCATGATTGATTACTATCAGGTTTTGTATTTTTAAAGTCTAAAATGCAGAAAATTGGTTAATCTCACAATATTAGATGAGAACTAAATCCTACAAAGGAAAATCTGATTAAGGGCTTTTTTTTAAAGGTGAAGTTAATTTTAACAAATGTTAAGTCAAGGAAATGAGCTCAAAAGTAAATTTGCTTTTTTCTAAATTAGTCTCATAATTTGTAAATTTGTGGTTAATTAAATAAAATTAAAATTATAATTACCTTTTAAACATAATTAAAAAGCATTAAAAATAATCTCCATAGATTTCTAAGCCTTAGATTAGCCTTCCATTACATTCATAGAGGTACTTAGTGATATTTACAAATTTGTCAGGTTTCCATGTATATTCACAACCCAATTTTATCATATTTAGAGTTCTTTCATTAAAAAAAAATAGTGAGGCCTACATTTTATTCTAAACAAATATTCTAACTACCAAGGAAAGCATATTTTAATTAATTTCTCAATCAGCTAAGATAATTAAAAATCACATCTAAGACACTCAAGTGTAACTTAGTGGTTAACAGCACAGGTTCAGAAATCAGACAAATTCATCTTGAGCCCGGTTTTATCACTTACAAGCTTTGTGACCCTAGGTAAGTTACATAATCTTTTTGAGCTTCAGTTTCCTCAAGTACAAAATACGCATAAATGTAATGCAACATTTATAGCCTTTTGTGAGATTAAACCAGATGAGGGTTATAATGCCTGACATTTATTAAGCATCTACTGGGTTCCAGGCCCTGTACTGAGTGCTTTCCATATTGTGGAGCAGAGCCAGGATGGGAAGCCGGCGGGTGTAAGAAGTGCTCACCAATCCACTACTTTAGGCGTGTGTTTCCTTAGTCATGGTAACCAAATACCTAGAGAACAAGCCTTTAGCCCATGCATGCACCAGGCCATCTGCAGGTGGAAGCTCCTTCCATCTTCTTTGGATCAAAATAGAATATAAATAAATACAGGAAATTTTTAAAAATTTAAATTTCCTTTACAAATAGTATCTTCACATAAATCCTGGCAGGTACACATTATGGCCCATCTTAGAGATAAAGGAACTTGGAGGAAGTCACAAAGCTAAGGAGGGGCATCCACTCTGGAAAATTCCCAGACATTACCTTTCACTTTATCTGACAATGAAAAAAAAAAAAAAGTGGCAAAGTGAAAAATATCAAAGTGAACACAAGATAGAAAGAGTACCCCATAAACAAGCAGAGAAGAAAGTGGAACTGATTAAATATTTCTTAGTAGAGGATATCCAAAGACTGATGCATCTTAAATTTTTAAATTAATTCATTATTTGTAATGGATCCTGTAGTGCCATGAAAGTAACAAAAATAATTACCCAAAGTAAAAATGAACACAAACTACACTTCATCAAAAAATGTTGTTTAGATAGTTTTTTAAGGCAATGGTTGTATAAAATTTCAATTAATGAAGATCAGGCTGGAGAAAGCATTGCCAAAATTATAATATTGATGAAAATATTGATTCACAGCAAAAAAAAATCATACCTACATTAAACAGATTTAATTCATATTTTTCACCAAAAAAATGTCACAAATAGAATTTAATAATTCCGACATCTATGATTTTTGACTCCTGGACAAACATGTTCTCTTCACCACTAATCCTTTAGAGAAAGCTCCTCTCACATCTTCTGATATGAGTGTGGCTTTTAAATATAAGTAGCTTAATTCATACGCAGACTAGAATGTATTAAAATTATTTGAATCAGAAGTATCATGTAAGGTTAAATTAAGGATAGAAAAAGAAATTGCAACAGAGAACATTCTTATGTGCCTATTTTGAATTAGGAAATGGGTAGTTTCCAGATAGGAAATAACTGATTAGGAAATTAGTAAATCAGAAAAAAAAAAGCTACATCTCAACTATGAAGAAAAGAAATAAGGATAAACCAGCACTGTACACAAACAGAGCTAAACTAACCCAAAACAGTCACAAAATGAAAATAACCTGTCCTTAATCTCAAAGTGTCATAGCAGATGAAAGTGACAGACGATTCTTCAATTTTCTTACATATGCTTGCTCCTTAACAGATTGATAATGTCATTAAAACTGTTCCTAACAGCTCTCCCACACCTGTGATGGCATTATCCAGACAAACACCGACTGTTTTTCAAAAAAGAAAACATACCTCTTCCACTTCTACGAAACTGAAAGGAAAAAAAATGTGTAACACAACAAAAATGAAAAGAAAGAAGGCAAATATAAAAGTAAATACATTATAACTAATGTGTATACAAACAATACTAAAATAGCTTCCATGATTGATAGCATTCACCACACACAAAAAACCCATGGATCTCAGCGAGTCATTTTAATCAAAAAATTCAAAAGATTATTTCCTTAATACAAAATTTCATCTAAAATATGTCTCCTAGAAATTTCTACAGGTTATTAAAAAAAATCTATGTTACAACTAGAAATACAGTACTAATTCAGATCTTCCATGGGAGAGAAACTATTAAAATGAATATATTAGAAATGCTGAAGAATCAGGTGAAGAATTATGGCTTCTCAGGCTTCTTAGCTAACAATGAGAGCTTCACATTGATTATATTGTCAGTTTTAAGAGATACTGGTACGTCTCCTCGCTGCTATGTTATAGCAGTTATGATTTACTGAAGACCTAAAGGTATCAGACATTGTACTAAGTACTTGACAAATCCTCTTGCTTCATCTTCAAAAATCACCCTTATTATAAGAGATATGCCATTTTTACATTGAAAAATATAGAGGAAATATATTATTGGGTCCACCCCACACTTCCCTCCTGTCCCCCCTTGACCTATCTAACCTTTTCCAAGAAGCACCATTTTCTTACATGACCCACTTACTTCCTTAACCACCATGGATTGGCCCAGAGGTAGTCATCTGGCCTGAAGTAGTTCAAGTCAAGATGTCTGGGAGACTTGGGGATTGGGATCTAAAATATACAGTGAGTCTCTTCCTCTGGAAACTTAAAGTGTAAGATACAAGTCTTTGGAATGATCAACAGCCATTGCTTGCCACCAACAGAACCCAGAGGTTAGATGCAGCTCATCTACCAGAGAAAGAGAGTTCAGGCCTGGTGTCAATTAAATCCTGGTATCAACTAGCAGGCACATTCCTGCCCTGGGATTTTGTATTCAAATATCCTCAAAAATGAATTACCACTTAGTTTGAGTTAATGAGGGTTGGGTTTCCAATCACTTACAGCTGAGAATTCCAACTAATACAGGGAACTGAGGCCCAAAGGCTATAATTCAAACCCAGATCTGCTTACAGTCTTTTCTCTCCCAACCTATCATGCTTCAAGATGCCAATTCAAACATCCAAGATTGTCACATTGAAACCTAGTTTTAATGAAAATATACCCTTGTTTCTTTAAAAATACTCAATTTTAAACAGCAATGTACTCAAGATTGTAAATAATTTTTAACTGTTCTTACATGTTACATACATTAATCATCATTGAATCTTTAATGGTTACAAATACTACTAATGAGATACTCAGTCAATATGCATCAAATGAGTTGGTTACTAAGGTAATGATTTCAAAATGAAACTTAACAATAATTGTAATCTTAAGGTACCAACTTCAAAAAGTATGTAGGTTAATTCAATATTTTTACTTTTATGTAAACTATGATTTTTCAATAGAAAAATTAGATACTAAATAATTCAAGAAAATCCCCAATATTTAAACATTAATGTTATAACTAGAAAAAACTACTGCATAATATATTGGTTAATATACTACATTAAGTGCCAAGTTGTGAGATTCAGTATAAGTTCATGGTGTTACAGGTGCAATTATATTATTCTCTTGCTGACCTAAAATGAATCCTTCATCAAAAGATACTAACGGGGTCCAGATGAATCAATTTCTGAGTCAGTTTCCCAAAAGGATTTAGAGCCTTTCTTTTCTTTCCAGAATAAACGTCTCAAGAGGAGATTTTATTTTTCTTGGTAATGCAGATTTCATACTTAAAAGAAAAAGAAGGGAAAAAATGGTACTTTGTAGATAATGGATGTGGGAGAGAGGGGCCAGTTCGAGGTTAACATGGTGTTTCTACCTCTGCTGCTAATCCTGTATCTAAGCCCATGTACATCTCACTCAGACATCTCGACATCTAGGAGA